ACCCAATGGAACTTTTTGCAATGATGGAAATATTCTATATTTGTATGGTTAAGTATGGCAGCCACTGGGGCTGTAGGATAAGCACTTAACCATAAGGTCAATTTGAACCACAAAGTGGTAGTTCAAACCCACAAGCCTCTCCTCGGAAACCCTATGCAAAGTTGCTATGAGTCAGAACTAACTCAATGGAACAACACAGTCACATGTAGCTATTGAGCACTCAAAATGTGATCAATATGACTTAAGAACTGAATTTAAAATTTTCATTTAGTTTTAGTGTAAGTCACATGTAGCTGGTAACTAAATTTAAATAAATGAATTTTTAATGAACTTTACTGATGTAACATTTAAGCACTTGACTACTAAATAAAAGATTGGTGGTTTGAACCCACTCAGTGGCTCCCAAAAAGACTGATGTTGTTGTTTGTTGTTAAGTGTTGTGGAGTTGGTTCCAACTCATAGCGACCCTATATGGGGTTTCAGTGAAGCACGTGGTGAATTTGAACTGCCGACCTTGCAGTTCAAACAGACCTTGAGGTCAAGTGCTTATCCTACAGCACCACACCAGAATTCCCCATAATGATTACAGCTTAGAAAACCCCATGAGGAAGTTGTAACCTGTCACATGGGGTCACTATGAATCAATATCAACTTAATAGCACCCAAGAACAATAAGAGATAAACTATTGGCTTCTAGAAGAACAGATGGGTTTCATTGTTCAATTTTGGTTGTTAGTGCTGTCGATTCCTATTCATAATAAACCCATGTGACAGAGTAGAACTTCCCCATGGTAGTTATGAGTTAGGCTGCTTAACCTGAAGGTCAGCAGTTCGAAACTACCAACTGTTCTGCGGGAGAAAGATGACGCTTTCTGCTCCCGTCCCTCAGAAACCCTGTGCAGGGTCACTATGAGTCAGAACCAACTCCACAGCACACCACTACCACCACCCATCTTTACAGAAGTGGATTGCCATATCTTTCTCCTATGGATCTTCTCGGTGGATTCAAACTGCCAGCCTTTTGGTTAGCAGTCAAATGCTTACCTGTTGTACCACCAGAGCTCCTTGTCCAGCTTTGGTACTAGTCAAATAAGAGTATACTTTTATGGCATTTGTCTGAGGTCCTTTTCTATGTTTAATTAGAATGCCTGTTTGTTAATTCAGAATGAGAAACACTGAAGTCCTTTAACTTAGCAACCTTCAACTGAGGGCTGTCAGCAAGGACAAAGCTGTAGCTTGCTTTTGTCTTGGCCATTCTGATGCTTAACTGGTGTTTTCTAGTTTTTGCTTGACTTTAAGATGTCCTAGGAACATTAACCATGAGAAAGATGAGGCTTTCTGCTCCTTCAAAGATTGACAGCCTCAGAAACCCTATGGGTTTCCAGGGCCACTATGCGTCAAACCCACTCGGGGGCATTTAAACAACAAAAACCATTAACAGACCCACTGGGTGTGATTAGTGCAACAGGTATGGTGTGGTAAGGTGTCGTTGCTGTTGAACGTGCTATTTAAAAAGATGGAAGAGAGGACAAGTTGATAGGGGCAAGGAAATAAATGCACTGGATCAGTCAATAACAGGAAGACTGTTGAAGGATCAAAAGCAAGCATACCAGTGTAAAATACAGTACTTTTGCTGTGTAGACTTGTAATCTGGGAGAGACAAAGAAAAATGATTGGCACTAGGGTATCTAGAGTCTTGGCAAAGTCCTTGGGTTGTGCAAAAGGTTAACACACTCAACTGTTAGCTGAAAGGTTGGAGGTTCGAGCCTACCCAGCAGTATATGGCAATCCACTTCTGAAAAAATCAGCCATTCAAGACCCTATGGAGTATAGTTGATTGTTGGTTGGTGGAATCTTGATTACACTTTATAGGTTAAAATATTTGAGTCTGCAGCCAATGTATGCATATTTTATTTATTTAGAACAGTGGTGTTTGATGTGTGGTCTGTGTACTCCGAGACTCTGTCAGGGGATTTGTAAGCTCTAACCTATTTTCATAACAATACTGAGATTGGCCTTTTTTATTGTGTTGGCACAGAAACAGTGGTGGGAACATTGCTGATACCTCAGTGCTAGTTATCACTGAAGCCTTCACTTTTATGTATGCACCATGGAGGGAAAAATGTTGGTTTCACCTAAGAATGTTTCTGGTGACAAAAGTAAAAATATTTTGGTTTTATTAAATCTCAATCCTTGAGTAAACATCTTTAAGATGTTTAATGTGATGCACCGGGAAAGGTTTAAAATACTCCTGCTCCATACTGAAGTAAGATGATCATCTGGAAGGAAATGCTCTTGTGCCCGTTCGAACCTCAGATTGAACTAACATCTTTTTTCATAACACAGGCATACCTCGTTTCATTGCACTGCACTTAGCTTAGTTGTATTTTTTTTTTTTTGTAAAACAAATGGAAGAATTGTAAAAAGCTGTGTATTGAGTGAGTCTATTGGCATTTTTCCAACAGCATGTGTTCACTTTATGTCTCTGCATCACATTTTGGTAATTCTCACAATATTCCAAACTTTTTTTATAATGCTATTATATACTTGGTGGTGGTTATGTGCTGTGGAGTCAGTTTAAACTCATAGCGACCCTGTACAGAGTTTCCAAGGCTGTAAATCTTTATAGGAGCAGAAAGCCTCATTTTTCTCCTGCAGAACAGCTGGTAGTTTCAAACTGCTGACCTTGAGGTTTGCAGCCCAATTCGTAACCAGTACGCTACCAGAGTAGACTACAATATAGTGTAAATACAACTTTTATATGCATTGGGAAACCAAAATATTCATGTGACTCCCTCTTTTGCTAGATTCACTTTCTCACAGCAGTCTGGAACCAGACCCACAATCCTTCCAAGGTATACCATTTTTGCTTGAAAGAACAGCTGACCAACAAACTATGGTTATTCAGTCTTGGTATTTGACTGACATATTCTCAAAAATGAGTGAAATAAGCTTGTCACCGCACAAGTGTGGTGGTGCTCTGAGCTGTGGGGATGCACTGGACCTTTGCCTTAGACCTTACTGCTCTCCTTCAAATGAGTGGACTACAGTCCTCCTGTCTCCCCAACTCTCTCCATAGCTGAGAAGTGTCCAAGCTGCTGATTGGACGTGTAGTGCACCTATCTGAAGGTGATTGCTGCTTTTTCTGCTTGCTCTAGTGGGGGCCCTCTCCCATCTGACAGACACCTCTAGATACACTAAGATTCCCCTGCAGGCTCCAGAGCCATTCTGTCCATTCTAAAATGATGGCTTCTCTCCATGGCGATGTGTTGAGTTCTTTGAAAGTTAAAATCTGTCTTGGCAACTGTCTTTTCAGTCTAACATCCTTGGATAGAGTGGGAGGTGAGGCTCGCTATAAATCCTCTAATTCTCCAGGTATTGGAGCTGTTAGCTCTCAATTCCCAAATCCTCTCATTATGCCATTGCCTTTCCACCTTCTGCAGTAAGTCACCCTTTTCAAGGCCTTTTGCTACTGTGTACTTTTTATTGTCTAGTTAATTCGAATGTCTTATAATGGACTTAAAAGCAAATGGTATTGTTAGTTGCCGTCCCATCGATGCCAACTCCTGGAGACTCCAAGTGCAGAGTAGAGCTACTCCATACGGCAGATCAGCAGGCCTGTCTCCCGAGGCACCTGAGTGGGTTTGAACCGCCAACCTCTAGGCTAGTTGTTGTTGTGAAGTGCCATCAAGTTGATTTCAATTCATAGCGACCTTATATAGGGTTTACAAGGAGCGGCTGGTGGGTTTGAACCACTGGCTTTGTGGTTCAAACCACCCTTGCAGTTCAGTGCTTATCCTACAGCACCACACGAGGATTCCTTAGGCTGGTAGTTGAGCACTTAACTGTTTGTACCTCCCAGGGACCCTTACTCCCTGCCCCCTATAGCACTTGTTGCTGTTGTTGTTTTGTGCTATCAAGTTGGTTCTAACTCATAGCGACCCTGTATATGTTTCTGAGAGCAACTGGTAGGTTTGAACTACCAACCTTGTGGTTAGCAGGCCAGTACTTATCCTACAATGCCACACCAGGGTTCCCATAGCATATGAAGGGGTTTTTTAAAGTTCATGGTAAAAGTCCATCATCTTTTAATTCCATGTTTCTATGAACTTTTTGAAGCCCCTCGTATATTAGCTGGGAACAACAACAGTAGACCCCACTGGAACACCAAAGTTTAGGCTGAAGTGTTTACCTAAACAGGTTTACGCCAGGAGTGGGTGGGCAAAGCCAGCAATAAACAGGGCAAGATATAGTTTAGAAGTAGAGCTGGGTGTAAGGCTCTGTCTGGGGACCTCAGCAGCCACAATGCCCACCTGAGCCCCCAGATTCTTCCTGTCAAAGTGGGTGTGGCCCCACTGCCTGATGGGCATGGTGTGAGGATTAATCCAGACAATTTAGGAAAGTTCTGTAAGTTGGAGCATCTACTCTACCCTGCTGGTCTCTGCCTTTCTCAGAGCTCTTTGCTTTAGACTTTCAGCCTAGTTATTTATGTTTGAGCAAACCTAGAATTGCCACAGAAAACTATCCTAATATTGTTGTTGTTGTTGTTGTTAAGTGCCATCGAGTCGGGTCCGACCCATAGCGACCCTGTACAGGGTCCGACCCATAGCGACCCTGTACAGGGTTTCCAAGGGTGTAAATCTTTACGGGAGTAGAAAGCCTCATCTTTCTCCCGCGGAGTGGCTGGTAGTTTCGAACCGCTGACCTTAAGGTTCGCAGCCCGATTCGTAACCACTACGCTACCAGAGCTCCTTATCCTAATATTGGGGGTCCTGAATTTGGCAGACAAGCAAATGGAGATTCTCCCACTGCCCGCATACCACCATGAAAGCAAACTGAATCTGTTCTAGCTTCCTATCTGTCTGCTGTGGGTATTGTCTGGGAGGTGGGGGCCCCAGCTCAATTACTGGAATGAACAGGGTGAAATCATGTTGGACACACTTGACTCAGTGTAAAGTACTGTTCTCAGCTTTCCTCATGTTTATATTTTCTCTTTTCAGGGGTCAGCATCTTCTGGACCCAACTCTGGAGTATGTGAAGGTAGGATTTAGCAAGCAGTCCTGAACTGGGGGCATGCATTTCCCGTTTCTTACAGTGAAGCCAAATCCTACTGCAGTCTGGCTTGTATAGAAGCTGGTTAGTTTGTCTGAAATCGAGTGGTAATTTGACTCTCAGGCCTGTGGTAACCCCTGTGGGATCTTACATCATGTCTGCAATCTTTTCCTCTCATCTGAACCCCTTGGGGCCAAATGTGTTGTAAAATTCAGAATATTTTTTTAGAAAGGTAATACAGTGCCCCTCCAAAGAGGCCTGGGATCAGTACTCTATAATCAAACTCATTATTTCTGCAGTGAAATGTAACAATATTCACACTAAGTGGGATAAATAGACTATTGCTACGTGTATTTCAGTTCAAGTCACTAAGTGAGGTTGGGTTTATTTTAATGCCAAGTGAGTTTAATAAATAAAAAATTATTAAATAATAATACATTTTAGTTTTCATAATTCTTTTACTTTTAGAGCAGCAGATTAGGATCGTAGGCTCCTGAGGGTTTATGAGCTATTGTTTCCTTTCCAACATCAACCCACTGATTTAGTGGCTAATTTGGGATCATTGTTGTTGTTATTGTTGTTAAGTGCCGTCGAGTCGGTTCCGACCCATAGCAACCCTGTACAGGGTTTTGGAAGAGCAGCTGGTCAGCTTGAACCACCAACCTTGCAGTTCAAACGGCTTTGCTGTCTGGTGCATTAACCCACAGCGCCACACCAGGACTCCAATTTGAGATGATACTCAATAGTTACACATCACTTTCCAATAGGGATAATATTCAGGGCATCAAAACAATATTTCCTTTCTGAGCAGAAAGAAAAGATGCTTTTCATTTCTTCCCTCTGCCCCCGATTTTGTGGGGTGTGTGTTTGGAGTCCTGGTGTAGCACTGGACTACTAAGTGAAAGGTTGGTAATTCAAACTCACCAGCTACTTCTCAGAAACCCTATACCGGGTCACTGTAGATTGGAACTGACTCGATGGCACTTAACAATGAAAGCATGTTTGTTTTACTTTATTTTTGCTGAGAACTGATTAAACCTGGTCACCTCTTACAGAAGAAAGACCTTAGGACCTTATCACACTTCCTTCTTGGATTCATGCTCACATGTGTTATGAATTTGAAGAAGAAATCATGGGATGAGTTAGGATTGAGGATGCTTTCTTCCTCAGAGCCATCCTCCTTATTCCAGTGGTAGCATCCCAGTTTCCTCTGTGCCAGGATCAGAGAGACACAGACATCATATCTAAAGCTCTTACCAGATTCTGACAAGATTAGGAGGGAAGACAAACATTCAGAACACCTCCACAAGTCCTTGCAAAGGAGTACCCCATAAGCAACCAAGAACAATTCCATCAAACCTCTCTGCTTCGGGGGGAAGGCAGGGAGAACCCAGATAAATAGAAGCCACCAATTAATTAATACATTTAATCAGTACAATTCACTTTACAACTGGCGATATTCATGAATGAGATACAGTAACTTAAGATACTACTGAACTTGACCCTGGGTTTGGAGGGATGAGATAGGGGTTTGTTTGTGAGGTAGTTTTGTTTGCCTCTATGGCACTAAAGCCGTTTGAACTGCAAGGTTGGGCAGTTCAAGCTCACCAGTTGCTCCTTGGAAACCCTATACAGAGTCGCTATGGGTCGGAACCGACTCGACAGCACTTAACAACAACAACATGGCACTAAAGGAACCCTGCTAGCACAGTGGTAATGCATTCAGCTACTAACCAGAAAGTCAGTGGTTCAAACCCACCAGCTGCTCCATGGGAGAAAGATGTGGCATTTGCTTCCATAGAGATTATAGCCTTGGGAACCGTATGGGGAAGTCCTTCTCTGTCCTGTGGACAGCAGTGGGTTGGGTTGGGTTATGGGCACTAAAGCTTTGAATGCATGTCCATAGGAGGCCTTTTACGTCCAGGTCTCAGCAGACCACCATGGACATCTTTTGTGCTAACATGGGGCTATTCTTGGACTTAGTTGTCCTCTCAGGCCATGCTGAGAAGGCCATGTGTGAAGCCGCTGGTGCTGAAGGAGGTGAGAGTTGTTAGACAGAGTGAGATGCACTTGGCTCCCTGACTTTGAGCTATTTCTAATTTACAGTCCCCTTGAGCACTTAATGCCACCTGAATGAGGAGAAAAGGAGAGATTGTGCATGGCAGTCTTGAGTGGCCTTCCTGGTAGAATCAGAATGATCAGCCTGAAAAAGAAGAGTTATGGTGTCAGGTTTTTAGGGATTCACTGTGACCCCAGGAGGGGGGCATTCTGACTACTGAGACTCGTCTGGACATCAGAAGGGGAGCTTCCCCCCCCACCCTTCTTTTCCTTGTTGTCCTAGCTCTCTCCCTCCCCCACACATCCCCCCCTCATTGTCGGTCAAAACTGGATCATTTGAAGATCTGATTTAAGTATAGCCAGGCAGCAGTCCTAACCCTGTTGAGGTAGGTCCCAGCCCCAGGACTCCCCTTCAATGCCTCTCCTCTCACCAGAGGAGACTGTTTCAATCTTTACCTGGTTTCCATAGAGTCCAAACCTAGGAGAGCAGTGCAGAGAGACAGGCACATGAAACTAATTCCTGCATCCTTGGATCTGGGAGGCCCAGGCCCTGAAGCTGATCCATAACTAGAGGGGAGCTGGGAGTGTTGCGTGGTGGAAGGAGCAAGCTGAGTAGAGAATGAATACAAAAATTCCATTCTGCCCAGTTAGTATTCTGTGCCCTCCTAACCCTGGGTGCAGTTTGTATTGCAGCGTATTAATATGGTGTGAAAGAGTTCCGGCTTGTGGTTGCCTAGTTACAAGAAGCTCTTGTGTGCCTGCGATAAAGGAGAATGGGGTGATGGCTGGGAAGCCGTAAGGCTCTTTGGTATTTCTTTTAACTTGTCCATTAAGCTTGCCTCCCTGGTGTGGCCTCCCAACAGCACCAAGGACCTTAAGGCTGAATTTGATGTTTGGATGTAATAGGAACGTTAGAGCAGACCGAAAAGTAGCCTGGGGGTTTGGGAATTTCATTCCTCACTATCTGTCTCATCCTGGCTATTACAGAGAGGAGCTTTTCTTGTTCTTTTTTTTACCCCTCTGTTTCCTTGTTACCCTAGCTCTCTCCCTTCCCCACGTCCCGCCCCCCCTCACTGTAGGTCATAACAGGATCATATTTAAGATCTAATTTTAACTGTTTTCTATAATCATGAGGTATTTTTATGTAATTACATGCCAGTATAACTAATTTTCTTGTACTTTATCTGAAAGAAACCACTACTTCCAGATTGGAAAGCAGACATTTCCACAGCACTTCTACCTTCGTCCTGCTGTTTGACTTCATGACTTGGGTTCGTGGTGTGCAGTTCTGGAATTTTCTTTTGCGTACCTAGCATACCTAATCCTAGATAAAAACCAACATTTTTTTTTTTTTTTAAAGAAGAAAAATTGTTCTTTGAGGCTATAGCCCTAGGCCAAATTGTGAAGGCGAGTTTCTGTTCTGGGTCTTTCTACTTGCTGTGGCTCCCATTTAATTTTGCGTTATTTTTACCCCCATTAAAACATATTTCTTCTGTGTCCAGTTTCTTATACCTATGTCAGGTAACTGCTTAGAAATTTTGACAAGATAATTGTTTCAAAATATTTTAAAATTCTAATAGTTTAGTGTGCTACTAGAGAGCCCTACTGGTGCAATGGTTAAGCACTTGACTAACCAAAGGTTTGTGGAGGTTTGAACTCACCCAACAGCTCCACAGAAGAAAGACCTGGCAATCTGCTCCTGTAAAGATTCCGGCCTAGGAAACCTATGGGACAGTTCTACTCTTTCACATAGGATCACTATGAGTCAATGCCCACTTGACAGCAAACAACAACTGTGTCACTCTTTCCAGACAGCATTCCAACAGGAGACTCCAAGTTACACCACCCTAAGAATCCCAGGGAGGGGAGCTGCGCCTAATCCACACTCTGGTTCTAATTAGCTGTGTGACCTTGATCTTACCACCTTCCCTCTCTGGACTCCATCTTCTCCACATTTAGGATTTCAACCGTTGTCTCTGCTCGCTTAACATTCTTACTGTTCTCTATGCTCTAAAGTGGAGCCCTGGTGTGGCGCTTGGGTTAATATGCCAGGCTGCAAAGCTGTTTGAAATGCAAGGTTGATGGTTCCTGCTCACCAGCAGTTCCTCGGAAACCCTATACAGGTTTGCTATGGGTCAGAACCAACTCGATGGCACTTCACAACAACAACATGCTCTGGAGTAGCTCTTAATTATTATATAACTCTTGATCATAAAACTTTAATCAGATTGGCTGTTTTTGTTGTTGTTAAGTTGGTTCCGACTCATAGGGACCCTGTATAGTGACCCTGGCTAGTGAGTTTGAACCGCCAACTTTGTGATTCAAACTGACCTTGAGGTGGAGTGCTTATCCTACAGTTCCACACCAGGTATGTCTCAAACCTGGAAAATAATAATCATCCCCCTATTGGTAGTGGTAGTGTGTCATTGAATCAGTTTCTACTCATAGTGACCCTGAAACTGTAAATCATTAAAGGAGCAGAAAGCCTCATCTTTCTTCTGCAGAGAGGCTGGTGGTTTCGAACTGCTGACCTTGTGATTATCAGCCCAATGTATAACCCACTATGCCCCTAGGACTCCTTATCCACCCATTATATTACCTCAAAAGATTGGAACTTTACTGCCAACCTTCCTATACTTGTTATTGTGATTCATTATGCTTTCGTTTTTCCTGACCCCCTCTTGAACCTATGAAACTTGCTTTTACTTTCATTCCTTATCATTCGCTTCATTTTTTTTCCTGAGGCTACTTCTTTAAGCTTTGGGAGTTGCTCTTCCTTCCCCGTACATTTTATAAATTTGTATTATTATTCCCTATCTCTTTCTCCTCTATGCCTGTCTTTCTTTGAAACTATTTTTAGGTTCTTTACACACAAGCCAGTGAAGAGTCTTTTCTACAAATGGTTTTAAAGTTTATTTTTATTTATTCTT